TATTGGTTGCCCAAGTTCCTGCAAAGCCTTTCTTCATGAAGGATAGGGCAGTAACAATTTTCATCTGGTCATTGACATATACTCCTGGTTTAGCAGAGAACAACAGATAGAGTTGACTCATGAAGGCATCAAACGTGTTGTATTTCCCGTCGTAGGCATCAGGTTCCGCAACAGACACTTTAGGAGGTGCAACGGGGTGTGGCTGTGCCACAGGTACTAGTGCGGGTTGAGCCAGAATTTGGGTCACTGCTTGCCCAAAATCCTGTTGTCCCTGTACGAGTTGAGCAAGGAGTTGGAGTAGAGCTCCTGCGTCTCCTCCGTTAGGAGGCGCCATATTTTGGTCGGCGTCAAGAGGATTATTGGTGGAAGACATGATAGGGGTTGGTTTACGAAAGTGTTTTAATGTTATAGGTTGCTTTTGATCTAATGTCAACAACACCCTAAGCACGTTGGCGAAGCGCTGACGACAGATCAACAAAGAAGTCTGATGGATTACAAGGCTGCAGTGGTAGAATAGACAAGATCAAAAGCAAGGAACAACACCACAGAAGATACTATGATAAACATATGTTGAAGGTTCGCTAGTTCCGGAAAAGCTCAGACCGTTCTTTTCATCACACCGCCATCCAATTGCCTCTGTAATATTGGTGTACATTAGTGTTCCGTGAAAAACTCCAGAGTTTTTGACACTACTAGTTTTTGACATGTTTTTAACGTGTTCATGACGTGTTGAAAACTCGAGGGCGTTTTGAGGGTGTCAAAAACTGTCAAAAACTCTAAATATACCATAGCGTTAATAGAACATTGTTGAGCGTCGGAGTTGACTATACAGAGACAAGAGAAGAGCCAAATAGTCTCTAGAACAACAGTCCTGCTACCTCTCCTCGACTATGGACTTCTTTGAGACACAACAGCGCACCTTCAGATACATTTATAGTTGCATTTTTCTTGATACCTCGTACATGTAATCCATCCAAACCTATGGTGTCATTGTTTGCTCACTCAGACGGTGGCAATAAAGGTTATTGAGATGCGGCCATTCTCAAGAACATCAACCACCTTGCTCTTGCACCTATTCGCATTCATCATTCTGATCTATCAGCTTCTGTTGCTCAAGATGACAACGTCATTCTGCAGCGCATCGGCAATTTTCTCATATCACAGCTACAGGTCGAATATGAATCAAAGGAGGATACCATCCATGGCCTAGATGGTAACATTGCTCTCGCGAAGCTCAATGAGCAAATTATTGCATATTTAAAAGGAGCCTGGCCTTTCAACCGTCCGCTTACCGATGATACAAACATTCTCAAGTATTGGACAAGCTTCCTGGATCACGACAACACTGATATTCTCGCGGTACGTGATTTGCAAGTGTAAGCACGGGGGTGTTTTGACTCGTCTCGCGTCTTGTCAAGTTCTTTGCGGTCAAGGTTTTCTCAATCACAGTCAACTCGATGGCTGATGAACAAACAGCATCGACTATGGCCTGGTTGAACTCTGCTCTCCGCAATCGTCAGAAGAGCACTACACTTATCAATCAAGTCCAAATACGACAGTGGCATTTCATGAATGCTGAAAATGTGTGTCAGACTCAATCTTTTTCACGCAGAGTGTTTTTCTAATTGTTGACACTGGCAGAACAAGAGCCCGCGGCCGAAACCAACCGTCAAGTTTCGTGACCTCGATGAAACCATTTTCGGCCAGGAAGTTGATGAAAATGAGAGCTCGGATGCAGGTGATGCTTACGAGGATTCAGATGCATGGCTTGATGGTAGCGTGAATCTCGTTGATGAGGATGACCCCGGATATCTGCGCTGCAGTAACCGGGTGTTCGTTGGTAGTGAAGATGCTCGTTTAGACGGTCCCGAGCTCCTGGACCTTCTCTCCGACAAGCCGATTGAGACGGAGGCTCAAGATCAGTCACAAACACCTGGGCCATCTTCACAAACAGCTGGTGGTGGTCCTGTAGCCTGGAAGTTCAATTTTTCTCAAATTCTGTAGCACAAAAATTACAATATAGCCGGTGTCATCAGGGAAAACCTCTTCCGGGAAATAGGGTGAATTTGTGTAAATGATGGTGTTTTATCGAATTTTATTGTGTTTTATCATCATGTTTCAGATTAGTGACATTTATGAACTAACCAACAGCCCCCTGACACCTTCGTTGGAATAAAGTGGGCAAAAGTGCAATAAAATGCAATAAAGTGTGCAGCATTAATAAATCTTTGTAATAGATGATCCTCGAGCAATATCACAATGACGAAGGTGAAACAAATATTATATTGTCATTCAGACTCAATATACAATATACTACATAACTGCTAATGAACGGGGAGATTGCAATGAACACAAATGAGCGGATAGTAGCAACAGATGAAAAAAAATCATTAGACATGAAGGAGCAGTTAGCAAGGCTCAACATCAACAGAGCAATACACTTACACCATAACAACAATCAATTTGCTCTGGTCAGCAAGACTTGAGGTTGACAGACAATGGGCACACTTGAACCCTGAAATAAGATCATAATTGCATCAATCAGCAAGGCTCGAGATTAAAGAATGGCTACACTGACTAGCTTCGACAGAAAAGTGATTTCTGTGGTCAGCAAACCTCAAACTCGCCAGAGGATCAAACTGGGTCACTCGCGTCAAGTAGTGCGCCGTCCCGAGTATCGCTAGCATGTACAACAGTGGCCTTCAGCGCGAGTGAAGGATTGACACCACGAACAGGTGGGAAGGACAGTTCTATGCGATATGAGTAGATACGCATAAGTGAGAAGTAGATTACTCACTGAATTGTTCATCTCCATGATCGAGCAACTCATCCCACAATGGTTGAAGTCTCTTAGTGGTGGGTGGAATGAGCAGTAGGAGAAGACGGGGGTAGGATATGTGGACTGTAGATGGAGTTTGGCGACAGCGCGAGGGTTCGGTGGTGGCTGATAGGTACACCCAAGGAGTGTGCAACTGAAAGTGCGTGCACTTTCATTGCTCATGAGTCGAGCTGGAAAAGCACGTTGTAAGGAGACATTCGACAAGGCCAAGGTTGGTTGATGTCGTGTTGTGGTTGAACATTGAACATTGAAATTTGAAAGTTCGAACCAAAAGTCATGTGAGTGCACGTGGGAAGTAAACAAACAAGTGCAAATGTTGGACTTCAGAACATTTCAAACGTGTACAAACATTGCAAGCGTCTCAATAAGCATCACTTTGCCTCAAACGTCCTCGCCTTCTTTGCTACATCCGACAGCGGCATTGTCAATGAAAACCTTATTGAACATTTCTCCGATGAGGTCTAGGTCGCGCTTGGTCGCATTCACTGCCGCGGAAGGCATATTCTTGGGCTCCGAGTCCCTTCGTGTCCATATTCTGGCTCAAGGAACACGGTCTCATGCCTGGTCTTACATTCTCCAATGAGATTATCAGCTGTGAGTGAGGGTTTGCATACTGACTTTGCTTGCTTGCTCTTTAGCCACCTCAAGCATTGCCTGCACCCTGAAGTGACTGGTGTGTGTGTTGTCTGTATGTGTGTCAATTTTACGTGCGCAGAATAGTTGAACAGATCCAGCGCCATAGTCTTGCAGCAGGTGAGTTCGCTATGTGGCAAGCAGCTGTTCCTGCAAAACGGACGAGCTTAGATGTTCTTAATGCTTCCCCCTTGTTTTTTTTTAATGCCTTAAAAGACATGTATTATATATACTTACTTCAATGTAGGTTAATATACATCCATATTTTCCGTGAATATGTATCTTTCTGTAATAATATGTGATAAAGTTGAGAAAGTTGACTAAAACCAAGTAATTCTGCAAATTTCGCATGGGAGCTTTTCCCTGATGGTCAATAACTCGTCAAAAACTAGTTAAAAACACGCGTCAATACCTGGCCTGGGGATGCCCAATGTTATAAACATGTCCAAAACTCGGCGTGGAGTTTTTCACGGAACACTAGTGTACATGTACATCATTGCTCGAAAAAAATTTGCTTTGAACCGAGCGTGTGAATTTTGAAACTCCCAACATTAATATTAATATTGGCTGAGCAGTGTGGGGAGATTGAACTTTGTGCAGTCCATCTCACTTCCTTCCGGGTTCCATCTAGATATTACGGTGACATGAAAAAACTGTATCGGTATGAGACACACACAGGTACACAAAGCCCGAGGTCGATTTCAAGATGTCCCAGTGCGCACACCATGCCTGCGGCCACCGTATCTAAGATATGCTATGCTGGCGATGCGATTCTGATTCCCGACTGCCTTCTACGTACGTATTACCGTACTACAGTAGACTGAGACTGATAGCTCATACGTTTCTAGGCCGGCGCTCGCGTTCTGATGTTTCATACTGATCTCCAATGCGCTGCGTAGATCTGAGATCCGACTATGCTAAACGATTAACCGAATTTGACCGACTACACTACTGAGAATAACTCGGGCACCATGAGCTCATGGAATGGAGATCACACACAATTTCAAAATCTGCAGCAGGGCTGAGCAATGCAGGGTTGATGCCGATTTCGTGGTATGCAGCCACGAACTTGATCGCTACTAAGCCTAGCATGCTGGCCTATCCCAAAATACTCCCAAGGTCAAACATGATGCATGATGCTCCAATCTATTCGCATGACACCTGTGACTCCCACGTAAGCACTGTAGTTATAGGTGATAATGCACGTGTGTCGCACCTGTAAGATCAGGCGGATATAATGAATCAGGGCCTCCTCCAATATCTCCTGGATAGCTAGGGACTTTATATAGCTGTAGGTACGCAGAGGGTTGTCAGTATTACCGTACTATTAATAGAATCATGTGATCCGGTTACCGTGCCCAACGTCGCATAGTGATGGAAACGTTCGAGCTCGTCGTGTCACACGACGAGCTCGAGTATCTCACTTCAAGGTGGTCGGATTAAGAGCGCGTTTTGACAAACAATTCGCTAGTAATGATTGGGATACGTATATGAGTCATACAATGTAGACTAAGGCAATGCAATACTACTACTCATGCCCCTCCTCCTCTTCGTCAGAAGACTCTACAAACTCAGCGCTTTTGGGACCTTCCTGCAGCTGGGTAGAGTTCTTCTTTGCTCTCTTCGAAGGCCTGATATTCTCCTTGTTTACCCGTCCTGCGCTGGACCCGTCTTTACGCTTGCGAGGTACGCCAGCATCCGAACGCTTTTTTCGTGGCTTCCGAACGACTTCCCCGGCTGAACGTCGCGTGTCGAGTTCAGACGCGTGAGCTTTGAGCTCTGCCGGTGATAGAACTGTCCAGTAGCACGTACGTGCCTTGAGGGCATCCCGGAGCTTGCGAATGTCGCCGACGGTCCCGATGTTCGAAGGGCTAGTGAACTTGACACCGTTGGGCCAGCCCACAAGGCGCACCCCATACGTTTCGATGACGGATGTTTCATAGTTGTGGTAGTTCATCACAATATCTTTTTTGCCGGTCACAGCAACTGTGCATAATGTTAGACGGGGCAGAATTTGTAGAACGTCGATACTCACCTAGGCCCCGGAGGATCATCTTGCGTACTTGCTTTCTTACAGCTTCCAAAGAGTCGCGTTCATTGAGATCTACCGGACGATGCATAAGTACACAAACTATGTGAAGAGACGAAGGACTTACTTTGATTCTGGGTGCATGCCCATTGTTCGTATTGCCTAAGAAAGTCAGCCATAGGATGCTCGTACACATCCTCCCAAAAGTCTTCAGAGTTATCCGTGCCGTGCATAGCGCTTTGAATGCTATCGTTAATGTGACCGCGGACAACAAATAGTGTGCCATAGACACCAGTCCGAACTCGCAGATCATCCAGCTTCAAAGAAAAAAATGAATTCAGTTGATTGCCGTGAAGATTGAAGATTCAGACGTACCTCTTTGACGATCCTATCCGTTGTGGCTACAACATCTCGTGCAGCCGCCAGATTGTTCGCCCGAACACTAATGACCTTTTTTTCACGATGCTCCTCGAGAGCTGCGATGTAGCGTTCCTTTTCTTCCCTGGTAAGGGCTTTTGTTTCAGGGTCGGACGCAACCATCTGGCGGAGTTCCGCCAACGAGTACCGAGCGCCTGCGGGTCGGTCTAGTTGATGCAGGATAAGCTTCGTGATACAATTGAGTTGAAATTCATTTGACTCACCTGCGTTCATCTCTTTCGCCTTGGCGTGAACAAGTGCATTGATTAATTGACTCTTGCGCGAGGTTCGATAATGAGTCTGACTGCCGATGATATCGTTGATGTGCTTGGGAGTAACATGATGAGCCCGCGAGAGCGCTTCGATCTTCGTTTTCTGTGCATCTAAGTATTCAGCAACTGCGTCGTGTAAGTGCTTCGTTCTCTCTAGCCTCTGGTCCCGCTTGATCTTTCGAGACGCCTTCTGGGCATCTGTTAGTCGAGGTGGTGGTGTCCGAGGGCGGATAATCGCTCGTGTTGGGTTCCGTGCTGCCCAGGAGGACATGTTTGCCTCACGGAGTGACTCTGGCATCTCTCCACTGGTGTCTGGCGCCTCTGCTTCGGCAGGACTCGGTGAGTCTGGGTCATGCGTTGAAGTAGGCTGAGGTGACGGTGTGCGAGCAGGGAGGGTATTCGCGAAGGCAACTGGTGGGGGGGGCGGGGAGCTCTGGCACGGTTGGGATATTTGTGGCTGCTATGTCGTTAGTTAGAGCCGCGATTTCGTCATTGGTAAGTGGCATTGTGTACAGGGACGGGTCATCCCAGTTCATCTGACTGATCCCGGGAACCCGTTCACTGCCAGTGCTGCTGATCGGATCGGAATCGTCGCCTGTTGGGTATGGGTAGCTGGGAAGTATACCTCCCCCCCCAGGAAGCAAATCCAGAAAACCTCCGGCTGAGATAAAATCGCCGTTGGCGTTAAAATCATCGGATGTGTAGAGGTAGCTCATACTTAGAGCTGTGAGTGAAAAATGTGTAGACGGGGACGTATCTTCAAACTTTGGCGTCTGATGGATCGTATAAATCACTCAAACGAACGATGTAGACGGGGACACGGCTTCAAAGTTTGGCATGCGATGGATCAGATAGATCACGCAAAAACACGACACGCGACGCGTTGCGCACGTCCTATCATTCAACGCCATTTGTTTGAAAAAAAAATATGCATAAATCGGTGTAAGATCTTGAGGTTGACATGAAACCACTTAGGCACATATTAGTAGAGGCAGTGCAATGCAGTGCTGATCAGTGCATACCTTCAATATTGCGCAACTCGGGTCTCCATGATATGGCATAGCTCGGCTGGAATGCGTCCGTCCAGGAAATGTATTCATCCAGGTAAATGCCACTTTGACGAGTGAGGGGGGGAATGCCAGTATGACGAGTGAGGGAGGTGATATATTCGTCAAGGTAAATGCCGGCGTGATGAGTGAGGTTAATATTATTTTGATGAGTGAGGAGGAGCGGGGTTAGCAGCCAACCAGGAACAAGAGTGCGACGGCAATTCATCACAATGCGCAGGCCTTCAAGAGCGCAACGGCAATTCGTCACGATGCGCGGGCCTTCGAGACAATAGAATGCCTTGGACTTGCATCTGTATAAAAACCATCAGCCAGGTCAATGTGGCTCAGGAGGTACAAACCCGCTACATACCTTTTGACATACTGGGTGTCCATTCCAGCAGAGTCCAAATTCCAACCATAGGTCCGGAGCTTGATTTTGGCTGCAAAGCCGGAATTCCAGTATTCTATTGGCCGTGGTTGCATGTCTAGCGTGCCAAAGGAAGACAATGAAGCAGACTCAGACCACGCATCAGCGTTAAGGCTGCAATGCCTAAACTTGGACCAACAACTCATTAGTAAGCACGTATTGCTTCCGCTGACAAGCGCTTAACAATTTACCGTGCATATATCATCGATCATCTCGATCATTGCCAGCTGTCGATGTCAAAAAATATTATGTGGATTACTCTTAGTAGTAGTTGTCGATGTCTTATGGCACCGTGCCCATCGTTCCTTTCCCCCCAAATCATGGTAAGCACAATTCTTCACATTTCAATCTGCACGTCTAACTTGTGCATTCACAGAGACGTTCGACTCAGGGGCCATCACGCGGCCTATCATCCAGGCAGCGCACAGCTACGCAACGTTGGCTCTCGAAGCCAGGGTAGGTCTATTTTTTGAGTCACTGAAATTTTGCTTACCACCCCTGCACAGAGTTCGAGAAGCTCAAAACGCCAAGGCTCGTGCTCGAGTAGCGTTGTGAGTCCATCCCCCACACAACTCTACCTGTTCGTGCTCACATGATTTCTTTTAGCAATAGGGCAAGGTAAGGTCTCGTATATTGCCATGGGCGTCATTTACTTAATTACTCTACAGGAAGAAAAAAAAAAAGATCGAAGATCAAACAGCGGCACCCATCACATCATCAGTCGACAACTACGAAGACCTATCCTGGGACGCCAACGACGATTCCGCCATCACATCATCAGTCGACAACTGCGAAGACCTGTCCTGGGACGCCAACGACGATTCAGTGCTCACGATGGATAACGACTTACCTTGCCCCTGCGACTCTCAAACGCTAAATTCGACGGAGAGATCGTCCAGAGGTGGCGAAAGGAGTGGTTGGTATGGTTTGGTAGCAGAAGATACATGGGGAGAAAGTATACGAGGAAGCACTCGCACACGCTCGGGCGGAGGGGGAAAGTGAGGACTGACATTTTCTTGGACCAATGTGCGCTGCATGTTTTGGAGGGGAGGAAGATCCTGGAAGCCATAAGGGAGATTGTACACACCAGTTGCCCTTATTGCAGGGAGCGTCTTAAGTATGACAGTATTCTACTATACGACTTACTGGTTTCCGTGATTTCAGAGGTAAAGTTCATGGAGGTGAAACTAGATAATGAACATTTATTAAATAGTAGATTATCGTAGTCAATCAAGAGGGAATCCGTCTTTGCAAAGAGCTTTCTGAGATGATCCAGCAGTGAACATAGCGAACGATAGCGAACGGATAGCGAACGGATAGCGAACGATAGCGAACAGATAGCGAACAGATAGCGAACGGATAGCGAACATGAGTGTACGGATGCTCGGGCTCGCGAATGCAACACTGTTGAAAAATATTGAACATGGTGAGGTGTTTATTAGGAATAGGTAGACATGCATACTTGAGCCGAAGCTGTAAAATGTTGTGGTGATTCCGTGCAGAATGTTATGAATATGACAGGGTTGTATGTAGCGGTTGATGCATGATGCAATTGTGCTAGTGACACACTGACCAACATATGATGATTTTCTGTGCACGCTGGATTTCTACACTATCAATGAATATTCCAACAAATGTATGGCTCTGGTATAACGAGTAAGGCGCGTTTCGCGTGTTCATTTTGTCATTCTAATACATATACAGCGCATCACAGCGCACATCACAGCGCACAACGTAAACGATATAGTATTAAAGCTGGCTCATTGTCTCCGTCAAGTCTTCGACCTGCAACCATAGTGAGTCTTCACTCGCAGATGAGCCCATAGACAATGTAGGTGAAGGAGGGTTGGGCGAGGACTCTGGAGGGGATGGCCAGAAAGGGCCACCTGCCAGTGGAACCGCCCGGACCCTGCCTTCATCATAGCTGGCTGTATATGCTGCTAATGCCCGCTGAAACGATGTGTATCGTTTTTGAATATTACCGCTGATAAAATTTGTTCGTTCGGCAACGTCAGCCCTAACAACATTGTCAAGAATTAGCCAACACAAGCCAACAGGTACCCATAGTACACGTCACACTTACCAGCGGTAAAACACACCAACTTCCTGCCCAACCGTTATCACCCAGAATCCTTCGGGTGTCTGATCGGCTCGTGGAGGACGGATGGCACTAGGAATCGGAATGGAGGCCGTGACTTGGCGGGGTGTCTGCACAACCATCGATGAAGCTTGAGGATGAGGGTGGGATGGTGTAGCAGTAGAGCGAGCTGAAGTGGAAGGGGGAATGGGTGCTTTGTTCTTCGGAACGGAACGAGTGCTGGTGGACGTGGACGGCGTGAACGATGATCTCGACAGGCTGATGGACTCTTCCGTGGTCTTGCGGCTCCAAGTCACGGTATCGAATGATGAATCTATATCGAGTGTCAGTGTATTAATTTCTGGATTGTTGAAAGACGCACCTGACAGTGTCATACCTTGCAGCAAATTGTGCAGGTCTTGAATATGGCCACCCTGGGTAGGGCGGCCACTGGATGGTGTTGACATAGGAGCGATCTCACGAACGGCTTGGTCAGAGTGCTAGACAGTCTATAATCAGTCACGTGAGAAATAGATCGGACTGTGACAGTAGTACAAACTTTAGATAGGTCTGAATGGCGCGAAAAAATGCAGCACGTCAGCGAGTCCGCACAAATATCTCTCTGCGATCGGTTCGGCACATCAGGGCACCGAGGGACAACAACAGATTGCCAGCCAACTCCATTTCCAAAGTACTCAAGCACAGGCAGTTGGTCCAGCAAGCAGCAAGTTCCAATGAGCGGCGGCAAGCACGTCTACAAGGTACGCTATGTTAATTCAATACTTGGAAGGGGAAAAAAAACCTTTTGTATAGCTATGAGTTTGGATGAGCGTCGGGCACTCGAAGCGCTGAAAGAGGACAATAATAGCACCATCGATGGCTGGCAGGATGACTACGATGACTTCAGCTTTGGCAACGTCTGCGATGGAACAGAGCCGCTCGCCATCAGCCATGCTGGTGGCGAGTTCACTGACCTTGCAAGAGAGGTTCTAGGAGACTTTTGGAAAAACGTGAGTGAATTTTGTCATGACCTTCACATTTGACTTACCTTTGCGAGCAGCAACAATCGTGTTCGATGGGTGGATAACCGCACCCGTCGTGATCGTGTCCTCCGTAGGAACAAGGCGTTTGCTGAGCAGCTGCCAGCGATAACGGACGCGTACCTTGCGTGGAGCCTGGCAAAATGTAAGGAAGGGTTTTTGAGAGATGGAGAGGGAGAACCTAGGGCTGGATGGCTTTGACTACGGTCAGTGGCCGATGAGCGTGATAGACGTGTTCTGTGAGTAAGTCGGTCTGTTGTCGTTTGCTTACGATTTGATGACGGCATATTGTTTAGACGCTGAGAAAGTCATTCTTCGAATCTTGCCAGCAGACGCCACTATCAGCAGTGCGCTCGTTCGTCAAGGCGTGATGCCTTGTTCACCAATATCACCGACTGTCGGGATCACCACCGAAGCTCTGGACTTATACCGTGTAGCACATCTTAGGAGCCCTCAATTGTCTATCCAGGCTTTCGTCAAGACTATGTGCGACTTACATGGTGTATGTCTTCTGATTTCTTTGGTTCTTATCGTGCTGATTCACGCGCAGGTTAGTTTCCACAGACATCTATCTCGACAATTCTCGATTGCGTTCGATTTATATCTTCAAGTTCGACGCTCCGTGGCAGCCATGGTAGCCGAATCGTTACGACGCAAACACGCCTGTCCCGCATGTACATATAAACTGACGGATGAACCCGAGTTGACATTTAGCTTACTCTACGCTATGGACGGTAACGACTCTTTAAAAAGAGTCCTTCGAAGATCCTTGGATACTGACGAGTCCCTCGGTACATCTTCAGAACTTCCAACAGGGCAGCAACTGGCAAGTGACCGCTACCTATCCCGCACTTTTGTAGATCAGTTCGCGCGGGACTCCACTACTGCAGGTGATGAGGTGAGTGCTTTCCATCCGGGTTGGTGATGGCTAATACCCTAACCTATAGGACGCACATCTCGAGAACTTGTGCGAAGCGCTGGAAGAACATGGACGATACGAAGACCAAGAAAGCATGGGGCATTTACGACGAAACGGGCATTTTTGTGGCCGTGTGCCGCCACGGATTCTCTCTCCTTGTTGCAGATATGGTACAGAGCGGGGAGCTGTACGTTACGTTTTTTTAATGCGTTGTTCACGAGCTAATGATTATCTATCAGCGCAAAGTATCCTCTAGCCGTTGTCTCAAAGTTGCTGGACGTATTTGGAAGCAATCTGGGCGGTGGATATGACATTGGATGTCAATTCAAGACCACGCTTGACAACAGTTCCCTCGGACCCCTCGCACGGTCTATGCATCACACTTGTCTTGTCGGCGCCTTCCACGGACATGCGCACCGGCGATTGTGCCAACTGTACTCGCTTACCACTTACATCAAAGGTTTAGGACTCGAAGATCTCGAGACTTGCGAACGGACGTTTTCAAAATCCAATTCCTTAGCGTCGGCACTACGGTACGCAAGCGTCTTCCATAGACAACAGGCCATCGACACCTACTTCGAGCACAATGATGATTTTGAAGTCTACGCTAATCTTTGTAAGCCGTCTCGTCGTGTCGTCAAACTTGACTGTGTGCTGACGTAATATTTGTGTTTGCTAGCCGACTTTTTATACAACAATTACAAGCAGGCGCTTGATATCTTGAGCGACGGAGACGCGACCCTACCAAACCTTATGCGAGATCTCAAAGTTACGGACGTAGCAGTTTTCGAGGGCTGGCTGGCGGAAGAAAAGGTATATCTTCAAAGTCTGACGCGAGAACCCGAGGTCGAAACTCTGCAGATGGAATATTGGCAGAAGTTAGTTAATCTTACTGCGAGCGAGTGAGTTTCGATGTCAAGCTATGGCCCTTGTACCCGCTGACACAATTTACATAGGGAAATTCTACGCGCTTCAATGACATCATTCCAGGGCTCATCGCACCTCGAGGCTGTGCCATACGATGCGCACGTCAAGAATACTCGCAACGCTGAGACTGCCCGACGGCATGCTTTGGAGGACCATGAGAGATATTTGAAGCTCGTCCAGGCACTGGAGTGCAAGCTCGAGGTCGAGAAACGCTGGACTCCGCACGATGGAGAGTGGCAGAGGGTTGGGAGGCTCGTGGCCAATCGGAAATACCAGCGTGCCCTGGACCGTCTCGAAGGATTAATTGTGGCACGCATATTTGAGCTAACGAGGATGAACCGTGCGGGCACAGGTGAGTAAAAGGTAGTATATTGCTTGCTGATTCTAACATTGAACAAGGCTACAAACTGCGAAAGCATATCGCTAAGGCGTTACAAAGTGTTCCGTCGCCATCAGAACTGCCCTCACCACATACAACACTATTGCTGGGTCAATGCACCCTCCCCGCCGGACGCTTAAGTGGGATGAGGTCGTAGAGTATGCGTTCCTCGCAGACTTCGACTTACTACGTGATACGTGCGTGGACATATCTCGACACCCGTGGTCATCGACCGCTGCTCTGTAGCGCGATGGACCTCTACTTCAAAACGTGTCGTGCTGTGAAGAGATCGAGCGTCTCGATATTGAGGTACGACGCCTCATTACCTATATACGCGATGAAGAGAGGTATCTACGGGAATGCGAGAATCAGTTACAAGCCACCAGCCCAGCCCTTGCACATCAAATCGCCATCCACCGAAACACTCGAGGTCGCTTCAACTCACGACATCTCAAACGACTCTACGACATTTCGAAGCTTCCAGGTTTCAGAGGGACGCTAACCCCTGGTGTCAGTGCGAACACAAGTCCCGGCGAGAGCGCGAGTATAGCTAATGCACAGATCCCCACCCGCATGATTGTTCAACCCCCGCCTGTTCATCACACCGCATCGTCCTTAGCCGTAGACACCCAGGATGACCTGGATGCGAGGAGGAAGAGGACGAGGTAGTGGAGCAAGTATCTAGGAGTTTACAGGACGTCCTCCTTGTTGCGGATGACTTTTCACGCCTTGGAATTCATGGTGATGCTGAGGAGTAGTATTACTAGTTATATATACACATCCTATGGACTTGCATGTATTCCCTACGTTTCGCAATCATTACTGGTGCACTATTGTCAAAACGCGCTCTTAATCCGACCACCTTGAAGTGAGATACTCGAGCTCGTCGTGTGACACGACGAGCTCGAACGTTTCCATCACTATGCGACGTTGGGCACGGTAACCGGATCACATGATTCTCTATAGTACGGTAATATGACAACCCTCTGCGTACCTACAGCTATATAAAGTCCCTAGCTATCCAGGAGATATTGGAGGAGGCCCTGATTCTTATATCCG